ATTCTTCTCTCTGCACAGCACCCTGCTACAAGCTGGAATATTTCCACACATTTTTAACTGACCCAGGTAGCTCAGCTCCACACAAAACCAGAGCCATAAAACCACAGGCCTATGTTAGTTAATGGTGCTGTTACTAAACCACTCTTAAACTTAATGGTTTAAAACAACCATGACACATGACTCATCACAAACCTATGAGCAGCTTTTCTGTAGATCTTACCTGGACTAATTCATGTGGCTGTATACAAATCACTGGTGGACAGGGGTTGGGGTTGGCTAAGTCACCAGGCTTCTTTCTGTAATAAGCTATCATGCTCAAGGTTAGACCCATGGCTGTACATAATAGCTAGGTCCCAGGAGCATGATGTAGGAAGCTTCAAGGCATTTTGGCCAGGGCTTGGAAGTCATTCTAAGTCAATTTTACCACATCCTATGGGTCACCTGACCAAGGATGAAGGATAGGCAGATTCTGGGGACTTAGCTTTTAAGGATGGCAGCAAAGATCCTGACCTCATTTAATCTATTGTAGGCCTACAGATAGAGGGATGAGGAGTGGAGCAGGACAATTCTGAGACTGGAGAGACTGAATGCCATCTCCTGTCAGGCTTAACATGGGTTCCATGCAGCCAGTCTTCTTCCTTTGGAAAAGAAACGGAAAATGTACTTTTTAAAAGTGTTTGTTAATGCATTTCTATTTTAGAGAAGTCTCTAAAAATCACAAGAGTGTCCATGTGCCTTCTCCTCTCCCTTACTCCTTAGTTTCCAGTTATTAATATCTTGGTTTAGTATGCTTATTCTGATTGATGAAGCAATACTGATACAGTATTATTAACTAACCCCTCTAGTTTGTTTGGACTTACTCTTTGTGTCCTATAGGGTTTACTGATTTTGAAAAACACAAGGTATTTTGTATCCACCAGTAAAGTGATATATCGAATAGATTCAGTATCCTGAAAATGTCTTGACCCTAAATCTTTATCCTCTCATCCCGCTCCCTGTATCCTTGGCAACCACTAATCTTTATTACAGAATACAGAGTTTTTCATTTTTCAGTAAGCCATGAAGTTCGTATCACACTGTTGAAGTCTTTCCAGACTAGTTTCTTTAGCTGAACAATAATATTTATTTATTTATTTATTTATTTATTTATTTGTTTATTTACTTAGTGAGCTTTTGTAAATACATATGCATGTAAGGACAACTAGTTCTCTTAGAATATTGAAGCCCTGTGGTTGGTCTGAGCATAAAGCTACATTGGACATCAAAGTCAGAGTTGCCACCATTCTACCCATGCTAGGACAAGGCTTTTCTGTGTATCAATCTTGGGCAATTCCTCACCCAGCTTCCTGCAGTAGCCAGGCTTCTCCTGAAGACCAAAGGGCAGTTGATAACACTGGGAAATGTCAGCAAATCTTGTTGAATCCTATTTTGTGCCCAGACCTCTGTAAAGTTGCTTAGGGTAAACCAGAAGAGCAGAGTTCTTGCCCTCCCTGAATTCACACTTTGGCAAAGAATGTTCAGAGACAATGTTAACGGAATATCTGGTCACATATATGAGATGAAAGCAGTGAGAAGAGTGAGGTAGACAAACTGTGAGCTAGTTGGGTGTTGGGGAAGCTCTGGGTGGATGGGACAAGGAAGTCCAGATAATCCGACATAGATTAACACAGCCTACTGACAGGTGTGCTGTGGGAGAACTACAGGGTTGGTGAAGGCATTTAGCCAACCTTTGAAACAGAGAATCTCTACACAAAAACCCAGACTTCATTCTGGACATAGATAGTAAAGACAAAATATTAATCTAGACACAGATCTTCTACTTTCACCTGCATTAACTACAAGAGAATTGTAGCTCTGAATATAAAACGCTAAGCTACACAACTTAAAATCTAGATGGCCTCGGCTGTGATGATGACTTTTCCAATGGGGCACCAAAGGTGGAGTTGTGAAAGAAAACATTGTTACGATGTCCTTTAAATGAAAACTTATAAAAAATAAAGCCAAGAACACAAAGAAATAAGTTACAGACTAGGAAAAAGAAATATTTATAAAACATGTATCTGATAAAGGACCAGTATCCAAGATACACAAAGATCTTGTAAAACTCAAGGATAAATAAACATTAAACACAGTTAAAATGTGGGCAAGAAATCTGAACAGATACCTAACCAATTGTGAATGTTCAGATAGCAAATAAGCAAATGGAAAAATGTTTCCATCATATGTCACAGGGAGATGAAAACCAAAGAAAAGATACTGTGTACTCATCGACACAGCCAACATCCCAGAACAAGGGATGTTGGTGAAGATGGCAATGGGAGCAGCTTCCACTTGTTGCTGGTATGTATGCAGAGTAGCATGGTCACTTGGGAAGAAAATTTGTGTTCCTTACAAAAGTAAATATATCTTATCATATGACTGAAGTCAGGCTTCTTGGTGTTTCACCAAGTTAGCTGAAAACACAAACATCCATGGGGATTCTTAAGCAGCTTCATTCATAATTGCCAAAACTTGGAAGCAAAGAGGTTATCTGGCAGTAGATGGTAACGGATAAAATGTGTAGTATCTCTGACTCATGAACTCTCATCATTCAACAATAAAATGATGTAAACTGGAGCCCAAGAAATGGCTCAGTGGGTGAAGGTACTTACTCTCAGATCTGGTGCTGTGAGTTCTAACTTACGAAGGAGAGAACTGAGAGTAACAACGCGTCATGAATAACAAACACGTTTCTTTTGATTTTTACATAGTCATGATGATCAACCAGTGTGCAATGAAAAACAGGGGGAAAGAATGAGTGAACTAAAAAGAACAGGTAGTTTCCTAGCGACTTGATCCTCATAATAGACCTAATTAATAGGCAAAGGTAATGATAATCTTCCACCCCCACTCTGGCCACATTTTTTGTTTCCATAGCACCAAATGTTTCGAAACATCTCAAAATGACAAAGATGAGGGAAGTGAAAGACTGGGTTCTGACCCGGCCCAAATACCACTGCATGGTATGCTGACAGACACTCTGAGAACCAATTCACTCAAGGAGAGCAGTGATGTCTGTCAGGACTGCTAAATTTCCATATGTGGTCCATTCAGGAAAATTCTAGGCAGGAAAAGCTGGAAAGGCAGGAATCAAGAACATGCTTTGGGCTTAGGAAATGGCCCATGAACCTGCTGCAGATTTCCTAGGGACTTTGGCATGGCCTTCACACAGGGATGAGCAAAAGCAGGCACTTTGTTAGCAGTTCCAAAGCATCTGTCTTCCCTAACCTCCAGATCCATAAGAATTGTCCAGTGACTCACTTAGCCTGGAGGCAGCAGTTTTATGGGAAATAGAACTAGAGTTCTGCTCCAGTCTCTTCCAAAGACAAATAGGTACATCTATTCCTGATGTCACCCTCCCTCCATTCCCTAGAAAAGTCCTGAATCTGAATCAGGCAGAAAACCCCTAGCTTTCATGAATCAGGCTAAAAGATCCCAATAAATAATGAAAGCCCAGATCATTTATGGATACCCTTAAAAATATCCCAAAGCCCCTCTTCCAGGCCCAGCTTAAACAACATATATCTTTTTGCATTTAGCTGCTAAACAATCTCTTGGTACACACTGTGCTCAGTGATGATTCAGGGGCCCAAGCTACCAGCTGCTAATAGCAAAGATTAAAGACCACTGGTTGGTATTGGTTGGTAAAATCAAGAGTATTAAGCAACCTAGGATAGAAATTCAACTTTTCCCATGCTGAGCAAGGAACAGCTGTAACATATGTAGTTCACTGACTTAAATCAAAAGAAGATGAGAGACCCAAGGAGGAGTAGAGCAGGAGGTATAAAAGGGGACAGGTGTAGCAGTTGGGAGTGGGAGGAGGGGCTGATTGACTAGGGAAGCAGGTGCAGCAAAGCTAGAAGACTCCAAGGGCAAGTCAGCTATGGAGAACCAGAGGCGACACTGTGCCCACAAGCTGGAGAAATTTAACTACTCTACACTCTAAAGGTGCTGGTCCACTTCTTAGTGAGCAAACACACTATGCACCAGATAGCAGGCCAGCAATTCAACTTCCCGATGCTATGGTTTAAAGCTGCCAGCAACCAAGGAGCTACCTTGCTTAGTTTTAGATTTCACCTCATCCTGTCATTACATTTCCTTTATAAACACTTTTAAGTCAGTTTTGGAGTTGCTTTTCTTCTTAAGCATTTAATAACCCTTAGTTGATTCTAATACAAACATCAGGTCCACTTTGTGGATGACAAATATGTAAAATGGAGGGGG